CGTCATTTAGTTTTATTTGAATCTCCTGTAGAGCGAAAGTTAGTAAAACTTTAAGTTCGAACATAGACAAGTAAGAATTGAGAGAAAATTCTTATGTAAAAATAGAATTCATTTGAAAAACGAGAAAAAAAGTCTTAATGTAACTAAAACATGTGTTTTGGTATTTCGGCTTCGTTTATATATTAACGAATCCGTCTACATAACAATTACTACCGAGATAGTGAATTTGACCTTCACTGGGTGTCCCTTATTTGTAGCCAAAACTCAGTTAATCTTAGAAACTAATAAATATTTCTTCAGTGAGGATCTTTGCGTGGAATCGTTTCCATTATTCTGACATGAGGCACTTAATTAATGGACTTATTGACTTGGCTTCTATTCAGCTTCTGAGCAATATCAGTTCTGCCATTCCTAAATTTCTAATCGACCGGGCAAATTACCAAATAGTGTTAAACAGGTCTCCAAGAAAACAAAGTCTTTCTAAATAGTAGGATGTTTAGGTGTACTGTCCTAAACGATTTGGGAGTTTGAATAAGAAAACTATAATTGGGGGCGATATTCTCATATATATCTTATCTCTTATCGGTCGTGACCATGATATTTTTAGATAAGAAGAATATGGCCTGTGAATAATGATTTTTCTTAATTAACTTAATACGAACAACAAAAAGAAAAAAAAAAGAAAAGAACAAATGGAATTCAAACTCTGTTAAAGAGAAATCGTTTTACCTGCTACTCAATCCACACCGTTGAACAATACATTGGTGAACTTTACTCTTCGGTTGCCCACTAGCAAAATCTCGTTGTAGTCTCGCTGTTAAATGAAACATATAAATAAATTATAATCATTCCTAAAACTGTTTTTCATCATTCTTGAATTTTCATTAATGCGGTCATCACACCAAGCTACAGCGAATCGGCATCAAATACCTCAATCTGGTTAACATATAACATTATTAGCACTTCGACCGAGCGTTTCATTACTGGGAATTTTAGCCGTTCAGTTGGCGCAGTTTAAGTTTAAAGTCAGCCCACCTGAAAACCGATATTAGTAACAGCAATTGGGTGCAACTGAGGTACATACCCAAATGGGGGGATTAAAAATTGGAAGGGGGTGCTGAAAAGGGCCATTTTTGCAAAAGAAGGAACCTCTTCCCTGTACCGTCATAATAATAATATACGATAATTTTTATTCATAATATATTTTTTTTTATAATTCTAATAATATTTTGCGTTAAATATCAACAATCTAAATTAAGCTGATTTTTACAGACATTAGATTTTGCCTTTGATTTTTTGCACAAAGTGTAAAAAATCTTCTTTTTTTTTTTTTTGATTTTTCACTTCAAGGTTGTAACGTTTTCCAGTCAATTTGGACGAAGAATTATCTATCAAACAACAACAAAAAAAAATTAATCGAAATTGGATGAAAACTCTGGAGACGCATAAACAACATCCGATCACACACACACATTTTGAGAATAATAGATATAGATGTATTTTTTAAATATAGCAGACAATGCTAATAGGGCGCAGGTATGTACAGGGAGTGGAAGATAATGAGAAAATTTTAGTGATAAGAAAGGAAAATAAAGGAACAGAATTCAGAAGACAGAAGATGGCGATTGACGTTGCATTTAAATTTTGAAAGACTGTAGGTGGTAGCGAAACAAAAAATTGGAAGGGATTTCCAAAGGTGAGTAATTCGAGAATAGAAACTACTAAAATCAAACAGATAAATCTAGCTAGTTCAACGATAAAAGCCCACGAGTATAGTAGCAGGCTTAAATTCCTTCAGACGACGAACCAGGGAGAATCGCCCATCAAAGCAATTGCCATCAAAAAATATTTATAGAAAAGTCTGAAAGAATTCACGTCAAGTTGTTGACAAAATGACTTATGTCAAAATGCTAGGTAAGGATCTATTACATTAGAGATCTTTCTTTGATTTTTTCAAGAATCTCAAGATATAAAGTAGGAACACCAGACCAGATATAGCAGCAATATTCAATGCACGGACGAATGCTATAGATTTATAAATATGTAAGTTGGATTCTGACGTGAAAGATTGTCTGGCACGACTCAGTGAAAGGAATATTCTATAAGTAGACATTGCAGTTTATTCAATACATTCACTCTACTTCATGCAGTAGAAAATATGATCCCAATAGGCGCAAAGAGTTGCTCTTATTAAGCTTAGCATCAGGCATGTTGTTGAGAAAAAAAAAGGTTTTCTCTGGTGATTAAATGAAAGCAGTTTCTTCTGAAGACGTTAACTTTTACAAACAATTGTTTGCCCCAGTTAACCACAGATTGGGAATCGTTTTTGAGAACATTTGCCAGTTTTAATTTTGTTAGACCTATCGGCCTTGCTTCTAAACAGGAGTAAATAATTTTGTCATCTGTCGTAGCTAGTGGGAAACTGATGACATACATACTCTGTAGTTTCAACAGTAAAGATTTTACTTTCTTTGTCGATAGTACAGTGGAACCTCGGTTCACGAATTTAATTCCTTCCTGAAGGCCGTTCGTAACCCGAAATGTTCGTAAACCGAAATTATTTTTCCAATAAGGAATCAATGTAGAGAAAAAAAGTCACAGTACAATAAAATTCGAAAAGAAAAACACAGCACAACACACGAATGTATACAACACGGATGTTAACTCGGAAGTTATTCCGTTCGGGTTAACTCGGAAGTTATTCCGTTCGGGTTAACTCGGAAGTTATTCCGTTCGGGTTAACTCTGAAGTTATTCCGTTCGGGTTAGCTCGGAAGTTATTCCGTTCGGGTTAGCTCGGAAGTTATTCCGTTCGGGTTAGCTCGGAAGTTATTCCGTTCGGATTAGCTCGGAAGTTATTCCGTTCGGGTTAACTCGGAAGTTATTCCGTTCGGGTTAACTCAGGTCGGCTATGTGCTATATTTTTCGATAACCAAAGAATTTTCATCTAGACTTTTCTGTTCGAAAACCGATTTATTCGACATGTGAGACGTAAAAAGAACCAAGGTTCCTCTGTATTTAGATCTAAAGACTAACCAGTATATATTTTTGCAGGATATCTGAATAGCCATGCATCTATTGTTATACATTGACCAAGTTTTTTATTGATTCATCCTCACCTTTCAGACCCTATGGTTTCTCCAGTCACGATAAACAGTTGCAGGCTCAGTGATACTCCATACCTTGAACGTCTATTGGATTTAAGTTTGACGCCATGCATTCGATTGATACTCATTAATATTAACAATTGGCAAAAATGTTGAAGAAATAGTCGGATCACGTAGGAATAAAAAGATCAAAGATGAATATCAGAAAATTGACACGGCCTCTCTTACCTTATCTCCAGGACTTATCGGAAAAGATAAGATTCAGAAGATCTGCGGTCTATACAACATCGGGACAATATTCAGAAGCTCTCCCACTCGACAGAGAAATCTGCGCTGCGTAAAGTTGGGGGGGAGTTAATTGCGTGTACTTTGTTGATTACAGTTGTGGTAGAGAATATAAAGGAAAAAATCCACCCTCCGAATGTAGCGCGGTGTAACATCGAAACTTCGTGTTAAGGGGTGAAACAATGTAAGTGGTCATGGCTGACCTTGTATGGAAGAAAAAGGTGCAGTCATCTGATCCTCTTCAATGGAGTGAAAATACTGGACAATAAAGAATACTGGAGAGTTAGACATCTGAAAAAAAATCAGCGCACATGCCAGGCTATGAGGACCTCTTTATTAGGCCTAGCAGAGAAATAAATACAGTTCAGGATAAATAAAAAAAAAAAAGAAAGATCGACAAATGACAGCAAGACTTCAACAGCAGTGTCAGTCAAAATATAATAGGTAATTGAAGCTGTACCAGCACTAATCAGCTGGTTAGGTTTAAGTAAAATAGAGCAGGACCATAGACTATTGGATTAAAGCCTACTGAAGTAAAGCCTTGTTGGCGAGGCACGGATTGAGGAATCGGAGAGCGGAGTTCGAATTTCAGTGACCTGATAGACTGGGTGACAACTAGGTTTGAAAACACTATGTATCCCTGGCGTAGCACATACTATACAGCTAAAAAAATTGGTTCTCGATGATCCTGACTACCATAATGATGATGATGATGATGATGAAAGCTTTTTTGGTGAACTTCATTACAGTAATTGTGAATTAATTCTGTATCTATCCTTATCTTCATAACATTCACTTCTTGTCACCTTCTTTCTATCATTACAACCATATCACATTGAAACACGGGTCCCCGTATGATCACCCAAGTTAAATCCTTGAGTCAAGCAGTATGTACATAGACTTAGTGAAAACAGGCGAAATGTCACCGAGGAAAAATAATAACAGTCTATTCTTATAAGTTAAACAAAGGGTTCAGTTCAGAATTCCCTATTAGTTATCTAGATCGATATACATCTGAAGAAGGTCGGACGCCACAGTGGCTGAAACATTGTGATAACAACACCAAAGATGGGAACAATAGTTTGAATAAGGATAACTCCTAATCATAGAATCTTAGACAAAACTCATTCTACTGTTTCATCATTGCAATTGTCTGAATGTATTATTTCTGCTATATCTGATTCAATCTCAATTTCTAGCACTTGTTTATTTTAAAAAAAATCGTTCACACCGGTGGAGGATGGCGTATTTTGCAATCTGCAGGTTCTTTCCAACAAACGCAACCTTGAAACCCTTGCTATTTCCATTGCAACTTTTCAGTTGAGCCCCATTCTTTCGTTCCACCAGTTCGGACTTTTATTGATAAGACACGTCAAGATACATCCACTGAATCGAATCACCTTTATTTCCCCCGTGTTCCAAATGCAAAAAGGAAGTTCTACTCAGACTACCTTTTCTTAAGAACTCCTACCTTTGTAGAAAAAACTCTGGCATTGGTTTTTCCCTAAACATTTTAGTCTTGACCTCTTCAAGTCGCGGATCAATCGTTATGTATCCCTACCTTCATAATCTTAAATTACTATCACCTTATTTCTATACCGGCATATTACGTTGGAATACCAGTTCCCGCACGATGACCGAAGTTAAACAACGTCCGGCCTGGTCAGTACCTAGATGGGTGACCGTTTACGAATACCGGGTGCTGTAAACTTGGATGTGCGGGTGGTGTAAATCGAAAATGGTTCGGAATTGTTAATCGAAGATACCAGTTTCTGTTCCCGGGCGGTTCGCTATGTTTACATTCTCGCAAAAACTTTGGAAAAAGTATGAATTCACCTCTTTTTCTCCCAGACTTGTATCACTAAATTATTATTGCATCAAAAAATGTTCTCACAATCTAAAAGTATTTTTGGCTTTAAATAACCTGTAATGGTTTAATAAACCGTAAAAAAAACAATTTTACTTATATTTCACGCCTCCTTCCTCATTACGATTTCAACTGACTTTAGTGAGTGTCTTTTGAGCATTGTAGTTGTAGAAATTTAGTAACACATGTTGGAGTCAGTTTTCTCCTTTTTGTTGTTTTAAACATTCCCGATGATGTGTTCTCTAGCTTTCTTTAGCTGCCGCTTTTGATTCGTCTCATACAATGTGAAATCGAAGCCATTCTTTGATTACTGTCACAACTTTATTGTCCATTCACTTATCAATGAAATAAAAATATTGAACACATTTTTCTCATCTAATCTTTGTATACATGTATTTCTAAAGAATTAACAGATTTATTTTTGATCCGGCATTTTTAGTACTTGACCTTTTATACGCTATTTTAAGTGGATACCTGCATACTTTCGTCGATAAGTATTCTTGAGAACGCAGGCCAATAAACGTAATACACACTGTTTAAATAGAATAACTAGGCGTCAAACACCGGTATCCACTAAAAATACATATGTCGAATAAAAAAAAGAAAAGCAAGCAACCGCAACACATATACATTTAATCTCCTTCGAAGTTAGTCGCCTTATGAAGCCACGCACATTATCCACCGTAGTTTACATTAATGGAAGCATTCCTGGAATTCATTTTTTTGATAGCGAATAGCTGCCTGGACTAATTCTATTGTATTTCCTCGATCTCTTCAAATCATTTCTTGTGGGATCTGATTTTTGAAGAAGAAAAAGTCGAAAAGTGTCTAGATCAGAGTAATATCATAGTTGAAGGATCTAGCAAAATAATAAAAAAAGAAGAGCTGTTGCGAAGTTATAGTCACTGATGGAAGGCCTGTAGTGTAGTGATGCGACCACACTCTACACACTTTCCTTCCAATCACTGCTATAAACAACGGAACGAGCGAGAACGTTATAAGTTAATGTGTACGCAACAGTGTTCAATGTCAATTTGTACCAAACGTTTTCTCTGCGTACGTTAGCTCAGTTTCAATAATAACAGTACGGATATTTTTGATCAGACATCACATATATGTAAGGACATTTACGATAGATATAAACAATATTAAATCACAGCCACATTCTAGATACTGATTTCCAAGAATAACAATTGCCCTATTGTTATGGTCCGATTCCTTGTACCACGGTGATAGTCTAAGGTAGAACCAATAAAGAAGACCTCGAACACGGATATGGAATAACACAGATATATTACAAACAGGAATATATACAGAGAAGTAGAAAGTGTTAGTACGAACAATCAGGTTTAGTAGGGAGAAAAATTTAGTCTCGACCAGTATCACTATTCCAAGGTCTTGTAGTAATTATCTGAACGCGATTCTGTTTCGGTCTGCCTCTGACTCGACTGACTGACTCGCTCGCTCTGACTGACTGACTGACTGACTGACTCCTGACGGATCTGACTCCAGACTTCAGACTGAACTCCCTGCTTCCTCTTGAGGCGCAGTATGTATTATGTATGGAATAGTCCATTATGTTATTATGGGTAAGGTCCCCTAACACCTATGTATTTCTTTTATATTCTTGATGTTATCCTATTTAGTAAGGGGATCTGTATAGTTTCTGGATACTGTCTATGCTTTATATTTCAATGTGTTAATCTATATCGTTCTAATTTACAAAGCAGCTCAGTAATAATTAGAACTTATTTCTGAGCTTATACTTTGAACGGATAAAATAAAATATAATCAAATAGTAATTTTTACAGGAAACACTAGTTTTCAATGTATGAATTACCAAATTACTATCGTCGAAAAGTAATTTCAATAACATTGTACTTTCTTACCTCATACATACTATGATGATTTACTAATTTGTTAAGGGGTCCACCCCTTTGTATACAAGTGGACTCACCTAGTGTGTACTTGTACTGCTGCCGGTGAATACCCGGAAGTCAGAGATACAGTGATACAGTAAGAGAGTGAGGTAACCGCTTTGTAGGAGTCACAGTTGCGAACACGTAGACTCCGAAGGAAGTCCTACTTCGATACTGAATTTCCCAGACTGTATATATATTATTATTGCTACTAACCGCATTTCTGGATCTACTAACCGTATTACCAATTGTATTATTATGTCAATACATTTATTTGCTATATTTCATTCCTGCGTTTGTCATTCATTTGAGACCGGATTTCATTCCGGAATCCACAACACTAATCGAAGATCAAATGTGACACAAAGACAAAACACGACGCATTTTAAAAAAATAATAATTTCACCCCTACCAAGGTAATAAAAGCGCCAAGTCGCAAGATGTTAACGAGGGTGAAAGAATAAAAGAAAAAAATAATCAAGGAGGATGAACAATTAAAAATACAAACGACAACGATTGACATTTTATCTAATTTTTTTCTTTTTTCAAATTTGAAGAAAAAATTGACATGCATATTGACTTAATCATTACCATTATGCTTATAACGCTTTATGTATTCTCGAAAGAGGAAGCCTTTCCGTGTTCATTCGCACACATGGTACTGAAATAGTATTACAATATTTCTATCGGTTGACCTCAGGTATGCAAGTGGTTTCTCTTCCAGTTGCTAGCAACTGACTGTTTCACCATCCCCATTTTCAGCACCCCGATTCTTTACAGTCAAAAGAAAGGCAAAATTAAATGTGATGTATGCTGCCTTGCTTGGGGTAAATATATATATGTAAATTCTTTTCACATCGTCTGATAAGCTTATCAGACGATATGAAAAGAATTTACATATATATATTTTTATGGATTAAAAATATGTATCAATATTTTGATTTTCTTTCTTTGTTTAATGATAATACGAAGAAAGAAAATCAAAATATTGATCCATATTTTTCAATCCAATCTAAGCTTTCGGCTTACATAAGCCATTATCAAAGATGACAATTAGATTACAATATATTAAGCAATACACGGACAAGACAGAGAGGATAGTCTGTTTCTGTTTACATGGATGATTTCCAAGCAACGATGTTCTACAGTTCAAAAGTTTGAAGCCACATCCAGAATTAGCATGGGAGGAACTTGACAAATGAGTGAAAAAAATGAAAAGGAGATCTTAGAGTCACTGAAACAAGAATGGAATCAGTTACCAAAGTTATAATTTGAGAAGCTTTTACAACGGAGTTCCAAAAATTGTGCTGCAGTAATCAAAGGAGGATATTTTGACGAGGGCAAAATTTAATCATAAAAAGTTCTTTTTTCTTTTTGTCATAATAAAATTTCTAATAAAAATCATGCCTCACTTTGTTTTAAACATTTATAATAATTTTCTCTTATTTAAAGTAAAAATCCATTAATTTTGGGCTCAATTTAAAAAAAATACCAAGGGTTATCTCAAACTTTTGAACCGTAGTATATATATATATATATATATATATATATATATATATATATGTGTGTGTGTGTGTGTTACATCATAGAGTTATTTTTATTTTACACATTAATTTCTTAAGTTATAGTTCGTCTAAATTCTGTTGTTTTTTGACAGCATCATATTTTCAACCTCAATAGCAGACTTCCTGTTTCCCAACAAACAAACTTATACATGTCCTTTGCAGTTTTGCAGTTTTCAATTCAAAGTAATCTTTCTCAGTAACTGGCTGCCAACCAAGGCTGGAAAATTCAATTTATAACCTGTATCTTAGGGAAAAAAATGTTGGATTTATGCCATTCAGGCCTTAGTGTGAAGGGAACTCAACAAAGTTGTACAGACTGTTGCACTTGACTGTCTGATTTCCGTTTTCGCGTCAATAACAATCACGTAACCCACACTCACATGCCTCACAGTTTTACACGCTAAATTTGGACAATATCGACTAGATTTAAGCAGAAGTCGGGGCTTGAAATTTCTTTTTTAATACAATGAATTTGGAAATTAGATTAAAGAATATCGATAGCGATCGGTTAGACATGAAGTCGGAAGAAAATAATTATTAAATTGTTCAAATATCTCACGTGAAGAACATAAAACATTCGATCAGCTTCTGTCGCTTTATGCAAGATGTCGGTCGGTTGATTTTGTTTAGCGGCACATCAAGTTCTATGGGTTATTTAATGCGAAAATCTAAATATTTTAATAATTTTATGGCTTCAATTAAATATATTTTGAATGCAATTGTAAGCCTTCAAATACAGGGAGAATGGATTGTTGGCCATTTTGCTATAGAATGTAGTTTTAGTAATTCTACTATAAAAATGATTGCCAGCCATTTTTCTTTAAAATATATTGCTGCTAATTTCAATATAAATATATATTGTTGGTAATTTTCCAATATATATGTATTGTTAGTAATTTCTTTATATAAAAATATATTGCAGGTATTTCTACTATAAAATATATTTTATACTTTTATTTTTGTTTTCGTTTTGGGTTTCATTATTTACCCAATGCCTGGGACCCTAAGAGTTGCTATCACCACGAGTCATGGTGGACCTGCCAAAAAAGAAAAATCAATTAAGATTTGGTTACACGCTTTTCAAAATCTCCATTCTTCTGATCAGAGGCATTGATGAAGTTTATCGTCATACCCAGAACTTCATTTTGCAAGTCTTACTACAGTAACAATTAATTATTTTAGGCAGATCATACTAAGTGGATTAAAAATTATAAATTTATAATTCTAGAATTAATCCGGAGTTTAAACAGATTTAGACGACAAATCAAAGACTATAATTTCTTTCTCTTTATTTTTTTAATATATAATAGGTATTAAGGATTCTAAAACTTAATTATTACGCATCCGTCAGTGTCAG